CGAATATACTCGCTGGACCGGATACGAAGCTAATCATCAGAAATTGAAATTTATTTCATTTCCTTCTCAACCCCCATCCCCTTCCACCCCTCGCCGCCATTTGTAATCCTTTTAACAGAATTTAATGGAAGCCGAGCGATATATTTAATAAATCTACGCTTCCACCAGAACCGGAGGAAACAAGTCGCATTACTACAGCAGCAGCCATCTTGCTTCAAGGACAGTTAGGCTTAGCTTTCAATTTCAATTTCGCGTTAATAATGGACAACAATGGAGACCGGTGACGAGATTTATAAATGAAGGCTCACAAGCTCATGGAGTGCTTTAATTCGCAGATTAGAGCCAAGTTCGGGAGGTTAGATCGGCTTATTCGGCATCATCTGCATGTCCCCCATTGTTTGGAGCTCTGCAAAACCTTGTCACTCTGCGTGATACTCTGAATGGAGTGGAGCAGCAGCATCTAGTTATGGGTGTGAGCGTACAATGAATACCTGACGAACGGGCAAGAGAATAAGATTTCGAATTGGCCAGGGGGCAGGGCGGGGAGAGGTTGAAGCGGTTGCAGTGAAGGGATCAAGTGAACCACACAGTTAGATCCTTCTGCTGGAAGCTACACGCGTTTCTCTTAATATCGACACATTGTGTGCAGGGTGGTGTGGAATTTCGAGGGAGGATTTGCCTACGTAAGTGGTATGGAAGGGAGTGCCTTGTAAAAGCTGGTGGAGATTTGCATTCAAACCTTTGCTCCTCCCCTCTAGTCAAGTAGTGGTAATTTGTTAGCAAGGGAATTTGACAAGAGACACTGCGAGGTTCGAACATAACATTATGGATTGACTGCCTTTAAGGACGATGTAAGATTTGGACATCATGATAGTGGTGAGGAATTTCTTAAATAAAAGTTATCCTTATAAATATTCATTTTTCATAGGTTTGAAAGGCAATAATAGCAATTTCAGATTTTAATTTAATGAAATAATGCAACGTAACAGATTCCATCATAACATTTTAATTGGCTGCCTTTAAGATGTGGATAATGTGATATTACTGAGGATTCTCTTCAAATAATTCAATCTAATCTAATAATTGAAATTTCCCAATTCAATCGTAACGTTTATATTGATTTGGAGACGATTGGATTGATTAAAGATGATATAAGGTCTGGATAATATCATATTAGTGTGGATTCTCTTAAATAAAATAATTATAATTATTCCTTTTCATATGTTAATTAGGTAATAACGGCGTATCAATGCATATACTCATCTAATGGGCCATAACTAATCTACCTTATTGCTGCATCATCGGAATAATCTATTTCTCCATCAGCGTCAACTTCACGTTATGAATGAACTTTTCTTCACAGATTTCAATCATCATATATTCAAGAACTTTATTATTATATTGATATTTTAATTTTGATTCTCTTTTGATTTTTGTATTGAAAAATTATATATATATATATATCATAGGTGGCGTGTTACAATACATCTAAATTGCATACATCCTGTAACATGGTGTATTTCATCACTAATCCTTTCTTTAGAAAAAGATTTTACCATCTATAGGTTTAGAATAGACAAAAAATCCTCAGAATAGAAACGGAATTATTATACTAGGTATCACTAGGGATTTAAACCATGTTACTCAAATCCCAGTCTCTAGTCCACGACGACAACTCAACCCATAAAATAGAAAATGTGATGTTATGTGATTTGATTTTGTTACTATAAATCCATAAATATCAGGTGTAGCAAATACTGTGTAACTTTGTTATGCAAACTTATTGTGTTTTTAATTCAATCCTTTACCCAGTCTCTTGTAAAAGATTATATATATATATATATATATACATATATATAAATCTTCGAACAGTACAAATCGTAGCATAGTGTGATTCCTCACTATTCCCTTCTTTAGAAAAAGCAAAGATTTTACGGCTTATAGGATTAGAATAGACACGAAACCCTCTGAATAGATAATGGAATTATTAAACTAGATATCACTTAGCGAGATTCAAACCAAGTCTCTCAAATCCCAACCTGTTGTCCACCGCGAAACCTCAACCCATGTGTGATTTTATGTGTATTTATGTGATTTGATTTTGTTACAATAAACCCATAAATATAAGGTGTAGCAAATATTGTGTGACTTTGTTATTCAAAGTGATCGTATTGTTCAATTCTATGCCATTTTTTTTATTTTTGTGTTCAAATATCTCTCTCTCTCTCTGTATATATATATATATATATATATATATATATATATATATATTTATATATATATATATAAATATATATCCCCAATATACATCATGGGTGGCTTGCTACAATACACCTAAATTATAAACAAACAGTGCTAATGGTAACGGTGTGTTTCGTTACAATTCCCATCTGTCGAAAAAGCAAAGACTTTACGACTTATAGGTTTATGATTTCCAACCACAGAATAAACATGAAATTATTATATTCGGCATCCCTCAGCGGGTTTCAAACCAAGTTCTCTCAGACCGTCGTCCACCGTGCCATCGTGGCCTATAAAATAGAAAATTTAAATTTAAAATTAAATTTTAATTATTAAATTGAATTCGTATGTATGATTTAATTGTTGGACTTATATATGTACGTAGATTTAATTGTATTGCTGAAATTTACTAGAGATTTATCGAATATCAAATTATATATTTTTATTATAATAATAAATAGTAAAATTGTATTGTTTGCTGAACTATTCAATCGAACTGAATACTGTTATATAATTGGTATACAAGATACAATACCTTCCAAACTGATTGTTCCTCAACTGCCAATTTTACTTTCTAATTTACGACACATTATTCTCGTACATATATCTCGTAGCTGCTGGAATCGTTTAGTTTACGCCTTGTTGGACGATTTCTAGTACCGAATTTACATGCGCCCGAAAGGGATGACACACATATTGATCGATAATTCGTCAGCTGCTACCGGCAGTTTGACTGGACTAGAGAAATTTAAATAATTGTCCTACCACTTTATTATGCGTATCTCTCTTCTGGAAGTAAACCACATTCGGTGAGAAATCACTGCAACTAGGGGCTTTAAAGCTCTGGCCAACTGATTTAAATTCAACGCCATCGTCTAATCAGAACCATTGAGTTTAACTTCATTAGGTTGCAAGCAAACAAGTTCGGCGACATATCCAAATGCAAAGAATCAATCACTTTGGTGTGTGTGGATGTGAATCTCTGGCATTGCTTTGCTGTTGTGTTGTGCGTTAAGTTCAGGGCTTGGGGGAGCACAGAATGCGTGCCTTCGTAATTAAAATGCGGAATTCGCATTCGTCCATCGAGAGCACGTGACCTCATTAGATGCCTTCGCGCGCGAACGGTAAACTTCTGCCGGATATTTAGTTTGTGTTCTATTAAGTTCCAAAGATTCAGTGGATGATACATTGTACTCGACCTAAATATGTATAACGGTCTATATTAATGGGTATTTGGGTGGGCCATTAATTCATCATAATATAGCGCTGCCGAGTAGTACCCTAGTCACTCAGCAAATATGCTACTTCATCAAGTACGGAAGGGAATGAGAGGTCTACAAACTGGTCTCATAGTGACGTGTTTGATCATACTTAATGTTTTGACAAACTACTTGATGAATTATTACAAATTATGTGACATTGTTGTATATATAATCCTATATTTTAAGGTGGTTTAAGGCAATCGAGAAAATGCGAAAGTTATTTATAATTCTGATTTAATTTTACTGGTTATTAAATCATAACATGGTAATTAGTAATTGTAACCTAAAATATTTATTCATAACATATTTAGTCATAATTTTTAATTCGAAAAATTTAATAAGATTAGAAATATCAACTCACCAACTTATTGATTACTCTATTGTGTGACAATACTTTTGATGTGTTTTTGATGTTTTTTGATAAGGATCGGAATCTTTAGGAGCGTAGAACTTTTAGGAGCGTTTTCAAAAGTAATTGACATTTCTCTATCATATATAGTGAAATAAATGAATTCAGTCAACTAATATGACGCACTCATTCATTGAATCTACTAGTTTTACAGTACAATGTGTCGAATGCGGTCTGCGACCCGGTGACCAATTGGTTAGCTCGTTAACCTTCGGTACCACGACTTTTAGGTTCGAATCCTGGCGGTGGCATGGATGTTTGTTAGTGGTTCGGTATCCACGTTAAGCAGTATGTCCCAGTCTGATTAGTCTAAAGTGTGCTACAAATGACAGTAGAGTGAAACGGAGGTAACGTGTTCTTTAATGAAAAAAAAATTGTCCAATTTTATGATAACTGCGTGCAAAAGAAAAAATGCAATACAAATATTTTTGCGTGAAATAAAACAAACAAATTGTAATCTTTTTTTCATGGTATCAGAAATGATCTTTATATTAATGCAAATTAACAAATTATTGACTTTTGTTAATGTGTCAGCCATTTGGAATTCCTCCCGCATTTTCTTAAATCTAAGAATGTTCATATTTTCAATAAGAGACGTTCCAATTTTCTTTAAGAAAGAAATGGCGTTTTGTACCACCGAATTCAAATTCTAATCCAGGCGGTGGCATGAACGTTTGTTAGTGGTTCGGATTACGTCAGTGGTCCAGAAGTTAAACGGTTAGACCCAGTCTAACTATCCTAGAGTGTGGAAAAAATGACCGTAGACCGAGAAAAAGAATAAATCAAGAAAGAGTATGTATTGCTTTTAATCGTGAGGGTTTCATCGAATGTTTTTTAATTATTGTTTCCATCCATTATAAAATGAATTTGTAAAATTTTGATTTAATTTTAATAAACTATAATTATTAAAAAAGATTATGTACAAAATGAGCAAATTGTCATGCCTAAGTATTTCATTGTACATACAAATGTACATTTATTTAAGAATAAAAAATAAATATATTTATTAATTTATAGTGTAACTATGATTTCGTAGTGGAAGTTTTGATTGCCAAACGCTGATGAATAAATTCACTTAATTGAATAATTGTTCTCGTTAGATCACCGAAGTCAAGAATCATTGGGCGCGGTCAGTACTAGGGAGGGTGACCACCTGGGAACACCGCGTGCCGTTGGCAAATTTGGGACCTGAATGGCCGAGTGTCTAGCGCTCTGGCGCTCGGTGCCACAGGTTTTGGGTTCGAATCCCGGCGGTGCCATGGATGTTTGTAGTGGTTCTGAATCCACTTTAAGCCGTAGGTCCCGGTCTCCTATGACTGTAAGAGCGCCATGGAGCAAAAGTCAGGCTTCTAACTACGGGTGCTCCATCACAACAGAAGCTGCTTCCTTCCCCTTCAATCATGAGTACGTATGGGCTCGTGGGCTTGGCCAGCCAAGTGGGATAAGAAACAACAACAACATAAATTCAGAAAGGAAACAAAGAAGTTTATGAAAAGTCATAAAAGTTTTAAATATCTAGCACCCCATGTTGAACAAATATTTGCAACTTCTACAGTAAATCATTTCATAACCATTAAGCTAATTCGAAACAGCATTTCTTGCAAAACTCGAGTGTTTGTTCCACATGTATTAGTCCCAGGAATGTAAGCAGTAATAATTTTCTAATAACCAACACGAAAAAAAAAAAAATAAATAAAAGTTGAATCAGCAAAGTTTAGAGAAACCATTTCTGAAGTTGCCATGCCACTTTGAGCGTTTGTTGTAATTAGGAACAGATAACGAGAACCAGTGCAATCATCAAACGCTTCCATCGAAAACCCAATTATTTCGTCGCAACCAATGAATGCAACCTTCTGTTATTATTATTCTTCCACGAAACCCTCCAGCAGCTCTGAAGAACAAAGGATTTTTCCGCCCAAAATCCACGGCTACAGAACTTTTAAGAATTCCTCCAGTAATTAAATTTGCGTCGGAACCAAATTGCTAAGTAATGATTTTAAGTGTTTACAAGTAACGTTTCGTTTCGAATATTGCGCTACCTTTTGCATAAAGGCACTATGGTATGCAATAAAATGAAATATAAATCTTTTCAGCGAATATTCTTAACGAAGACCATTTGTTTTCGAATTATTGCGCCATTTATTTTTTCTACCTTATCTGTTACATCTTTTCACTAATGAGATTCTACGATGCTCAAAGATTAAGAAATATTATTTCTTCACCTCAGAGAAAATGTTTGGTTCGTTCAAAATGAAAATGATATCAAAAATTGTGCGCTTTGTTTCAATTTTTCTTTTGATTTCCAACAATTAGATTTGTTTTCTTCCATTAAAAGAAGTCTCATATATTTACAAAGCGAGTACCAAATGAACGGTATTCATTGCACTAATGATGTGGTTTTGTTATCATTAATATTTATTTGCTGTTATATTGAAGAACATCTCGTAATTGAATTCGTCCTATAAAACAAGCAAAATAAGCAAACAAATAAAAAAAACTAATAACTGCTTTAGTAAAAATAGAAAGATATTACTTCTTCTGAATCAAGAAGTACGTATAATTTGCACCTATTATCAACAAAATTACAAATGCCTCCAGAAATAAGAAATATCGAAATTATTCCTTAATACGAGTTAATTGTCATTGCTTCCAGATATATGCATTAGTTGTTATATCGATATAAATTAATTGTAATTAGAATCAGAACCCTTTTTTTAAACCGTTTGAACTATCGCTCATCATAAATTAATTATTTTTAAATATATAATAAAACCAAAACTTGTTCTCATTTCGCGGGGAATTATCTATATTAAAAAACGATGAGCAAATTACCTAAATTAATGGTGTTTTCGAATGTTTCTTTCACGTTTAATTAATAATTAGTGAAGTAAACATAAAGTGTTCGTAACGTAAATGTAATTGCATAAATGTTCAGTAATTATTTCGCTTGAAAATGAATTAAAAAACGAGCTTCTATAAATTGGTTTGACATTGTATTTTTCAAACAAACTCAGTGCATGAATATTAATAAAATAATTAACTCAAGAATGATTACAACATTAATAATTGGAACACTCTGTAGAGAATAGTTCAAGAGAATTTTTTAATGGTATAAAATTCTTTACTTTAGAAACCTCTAAAGGACGTATAAATTTAATAATTAAGACTTATAATTGAGACTTAATTTCAATAGCCTGATATTATGTTGTTCTAATGCAGCTGGTAATACAGAGACAGTTAATCTTCATGTCGTAAGCAAGGGCTGCACCGTTGTTACTCATTTAGCACTACCCAGGGGATACGTGTAGCCTGAAGATATGCTACGGACCCGAGTAACACTACCCATACAACGGTCTACGATCCTATTAAGACAGGGACTTACAGTTTAAAGTGGATTCCGAACCACTACAAACATCCATGGCCATAATGGACCATAAAGTGTTCGAGTCCAAAACCCACTGGTACCGAGACTAACTACTCGGCCATCAGGCCCCACTGCCTCACGTTATATTTTGTATTATAATTGAGTGAATGATAGCTGTTAGAATACTTCTTCTACATTGACGCAGAAGCCCCATAGTGGGCCAAGACCGTCTGTCTACTAGCAGATTTCGAGACAGGATAAGTTTTCTTTTTAAGGAGTCAGGGCCTCCTATGACTGTAGAGCGTTACATTACCTCTGACAGCATTATCTCTTAAAAACCAAAACATCTCATGTTTTCTGAATCCGCCAATAGATAGACAGCCTTGGGCCATTGTAGGTTTTTTGCGTCATAGAAGAAGAACAATTTATAATTCTGGCAATTAAGAAATTGCAATTTAGTGTTTTGCTTAACAAAAGTTTTATGAACAAAACTTTTTGCTCAGATATGGAATAAAAAAAATTTATGGATACAATAACTATAACAAGCATTTATTAACAATCCTATGAAAATAACCACATAGGTTTCAAAAGGCAAAGCAAAGTCTATAAAACGAGGTTTAATATATGTTAGTTATATCTTTTAACAATATACATGTTAATGTACTTAATTTTCCGACTTAGACAACTTTGATATATTGTTGGTGCGTATTGTAAAGAAAAATTCTATTCATAGCAAGCCTTTATTTATATTCCGATGTAAAACCATGCATATTTCAAAATATAACGCGAAGTCTGTAAAAGGAGGTTTAGTATATGTTAATTATATCTTTGAATAATATATATGATAATGTTCATAATTTTGAGATATGAACAACTCTGAGAGATTGTAGCTGTGTATTGAAAAAAAAATGTAATCGTAAATATAAAAACACGTATTAAAAAAAAAGATGAACTGATATATTGTATTAATTAAGTTTTCATAAAAATAATTGGATCTTTTTTTTTAGTGGAGCATTGATTTAAGATTGCTGCATTTATTTTTTTTTCTTGGTATAATTTTTTTGGCTTAGCGAGTTTTGTTATTTTGATCATTATTTCTTAACGAAAAAAAAAATGTCTAGCTTTGTCCCACAGCGTTGTCGCACGAAACCAGCTTTTTTTTTCTTAATGCAAAACTCCAATTCGGTTTTTTTTCTATCATGAACACTCTCCATTTTAAGCGCGAATATAAATTCCCTACTGCCATAAACCTAATGGAAAAGAGTTCAATAAAAAAATGGATTCCCCTACAATAGGCCTAACTATGGGCGGGAATTTTATGGGAATACAGCTCTGTTGGGACATTAAATTTCTATTTTATGTGGGTGCAGATATTTCTTGTGCCCTTTTTAAAGGCGACATTTATTGTGGTTTCCCTAACACATTGGGGTGGTGTTTTCATGTTTTTTTCAAGTAAATACTGTCATGTACAAAAAAAAGTAAAAATCTTTAGATGTATATACGTATTTTTTTTTTCTCTTTAGTGGACTGCATTCTTGCGTGGCATAAAAAAAAACCCCCAAAGTTATCATTGTTATTGGTTTTTATGAGTGTAAGCGAAACTAAAGATTTGTATGAACAAACATTTTAGATTCGTCGTTTGTTTTATTGAGTGAGCGAATGACCGAGTTCTGAGATTCCTAGTCCTTTACTTCGGGGAATAAATGTTTAATATCCGCTGCTGGTTAATTTTTGGAGTGATTTATTCGCTGGGTGGTTTTTATCAGGCAATTTTAATTTGGTGTTTGTGGCTAAAATGTAATTACAGCACGACATTTTGTCGCTTTCTGTTTTAGTTATAAAAATCTGGTTTTATGTTAATGAAGATATGCGTGAAGTGTTTAGTGCTCTGTACGCCAATGTACGGTTAATATTAGGGACATTACTTCAAAATTCTCCAGTAATTACGGTATAAAAATAAAGATATATGAAACTTGCATGTAGCAATCACAACGCAAGCATCAAATTTTTCAATTATAATTATGGTTTAAAAGGTCTCATACTTTCAAAATAGTTTCTATTTTTTCTGTCATGTATATGTATATATACGTATACATATATATACATGTATACATATATATATATATATATATATATGCATACACATGTACATATACATATCTATAGACATACATATACACATACATACCTATAAAAACATATACACACATATATATATACGGACATACATACGCATATATATAACTAGACATACATACACACAGTTTATTTGTTTCTATGGTTTAAAATCTACTGGAGATTAAATTAAATTTATATATATTTAAAAATATATTTTATCAAAATTTTTGTTGGCTGAATAAATAAATAACTTATCACTCTAATAACGGCATCAAAATCGGATTTTAACATTTATATTTCCCCTCTAAATAATTATGTGTTGTTTAAAAAACTTTGCTAATTGTATTATTTCTGTCACTCTTTTTACGGTCATACAATATACATCGACTCTATAATCAAATACTTTTGATATTTACTGAACAATACATCATTCCAGAAACACGGCGGCTAAAGAAAAATAGCACATGAATTATAATTTATGCAAACAGCTGCAAGGAATATTTTGAAAGGGTAATGTTATTTACGACGACAGACCCAAGTTATTGTTGCTTACTCCAAAATATGCCCGTTTCCATTTCTCAAAGCCGTTGTGTTTCCCGAGTTAAACTTTAATGAAGGGCAAATTAATTACAAATATAAATATCAACAAATATACGACCTCTTTCCCTCAACGAAACTAAGGAGGAACTCAC